ATTTACTTTTGTGTGTTTTTGTCAGGCAGAAATTTATTTATACCCCCTGAGGGTGTAAGAGGTTAATAAAGACAAATCTTAAAGATGCACAGTAACTCATTATCTGACGAGCATTAACGTTCATCTTTTCTGACTCGTTTCTTTTAACCATAAATTAAATGACTGCTATCTGGAATAAGGCTGTAAAATAACTAAAAGTGGAAAAGTGCAACGCTCTAAATACTTTGCAGATGTGTTCTATTAAACCAGACTGTTTGAAACCTTAATAATAAAAATATTGGATAAAACACAAATGATCCATATTTGTATGTATCAAACTATATCTGGCTCGTCTAAATGCAGCAGAAGTTTGTAGTTGTTGTTTTAAGGATGACCTAAATCCTTCTGATTTTTCCTAGAAAACATTTTTTATTTTCTAAGCCGAGAAACTAAAAATCATTTTCAACAACTTTCAGAAGGCAAACCCACTACACTGCAAAAATGATCTAAAAATTAGTAAAAAAAAATGTTTTCAATTAAGTGTATTTAGCAGGTAAATAAGATAATCTGCCAATGGAATGAGCATTTTTACTCTTAAAATAAGTATAAAAGAAGATAATTAGATATTATGCACTTGAAATGAGAGACTGCAGTTGTTTTTTTCTTATTTTAAATGTAAATTGCCTCATTCCATTGACAAAGTGTATAACTTAACTACTTCATTCAAGAAAAAAAAAATGCTCTTATTTTAAGAATAATAAACTTACTTTGATTATATATTTTTTTGCAGTGGAAACTGTTTATATAGTGCACTGCAAAAACAATCTAAAAATGAGTAAAAATGTCTTAAATTAAGTGTATTTACCCTTAATTTGAGTAGATAAATAAGATAGTTTGCCAATGGAATGAGTATTTTTACTCTTTAAATGAGATAATTAGATAATATGCACTTGAAATAAGACAATGCGATTGTATTTTCTTATTTTAAATGTAAATTGTCTTGTTCCATTGGCAAAGTGTCTCTTTTATCTCCTCAATTCAAGAACAAATGCACTAATTTTAATAAGAAATTACTTATCTAGATTGTGTGTATCTGCAATGATTTATAGATCAATTTCTCCATAAAATACGACTATTTGCTAAATGAAGAAGGATCACTGCAAACTGCACAAAACATTTCAAGTGTGTGAAGTTACACTGGTAAAAAATTGAAATCTAGATGAGTTATTTTTTCTTAAAATAAGTGCATTTGTTCTGGGATTGAGGAGGTATAAGAGACATTTTGCTAATGGAACGAGACAATTTACACTTAAAATAAGAAAACACAATTGCAATGTTTTATTTCAAGTGCATATTATCAAACTAGCTTATTTTAAGAATAAAAATGCTCATTCCATTGGCAAACTATCTCATTTACCTACTCAAATTAGGGGTATATACTCTTAATTTAGGACATTTTAGCTTATTTCTAGCTTGTTTTTCCAGTGTAGGAGGCTGAGGCGTTTCTTGCAAAAAAAAAGGTTCAAATTAATTTAACGTCCTCAGACAGAGAGGTAAAGCTCTGATTGAGGCATTTCGGTACGTACATTTATACCTTACAATAATCCCAACACACACACACTCCCCCCCAGGGGAACCAACCCACCCCCCACATAAAGAACTTTCTCACACTTGAACTTTTGGAGGAAAAAAAACTTGAGTTCATGAAGGCCGTTCATTGTTAGGTTAATATATCTTTCACTGATGGATGATTTCTTCCCTTTATGCCTTTAAAGGAAGCTGTGTGACTCATTCTTATCTCTCATGACCTTCATTTGGAGCCTGTGAAGCTAAGAACAGACATATCTCAACATTTTTTACTCCAAATGAGTATTCAGGTATATAAAATCTAAACAGGATGACCATTAAAAAAGGCCCAGACACTCAATTATCACTTAAATGTTTATTTTGCAAAAATGTAAACAAAGTTATTTTACAATTTACAATTTACATCTCAAAATGAGATCACATTTATTCTCCAGGTATTGATGTTAGGAAGATAGCTGCCTTTTTTCCTATATTTTGCTACATGAACTTGTGAAGTTTCTCCTTTGGTTTCATTCATCTCCTCCTGCGGTGGTCTTACAGGCGCGTGATTGGCTGTCAGCAATCCGGCACCAAACACACTAAACGCCCTTCGCCGTTATTCTGAAACGAAAACAAACACGTTGGAACGAAACAGTGTAAAGTTTTGTTGGTGCACTGGAAAAATGATCTAGAAATAAGTAAAAATTTCTTAAATTAAGCTTATTTACCCTTAATTTGAGTAGGTAAATGAGATAGTTTGCCAATGGAATGAGTATTTTTACTTTTAAAATGAGATAAGTAGATAAAATGCACTTAAAATAAGACAATGCAATTGGGTTTTCTTATTTTAAGTGTACATTTTTTTGTTCCGTGGACAAAATGTCTCTTTTACCTCCTCAATCCAAGAACAGAGGCACTTATTTTAAGAAAAAATGGTTTATCTAGATTTGGATTTTTTCCAGTTTTTCTCCTCTCACCTGTATGTCACTGCTGCAGGCAGGATGACCTCTAAGGTGATTGTGAACACACCTGCCGAAGCGGTGCATGCAGGCCGAATCGGAGGGCGCGCAGCTGTGAGGGCATGAAGGCCGCCTCAGCGTGAGGCAGCTGGAGCAGGAGGTGTGCTGGCAGGAGCCCTGGCATGCCTTCTTCTCAAGGGATGCAAACCTGCAAAAATAACAGTTACAGTTTCTAATCCAGACAGATTATAAAAGGCTTGGACTGCAGGGTTAATGTAGTCACCTGGCAGAGCAGATTGCAGCGGGGTTGGCCTGGCAGTATTCCTTGGTGCATTCTGGGCTGCAGCTCTCTGGGTTCAGGCTTTCAATCACTGTGCAACAGGAAATACAATCAGCCCAGTTTTCTAAAACAAAATCCCCAGAAGCTCCTGCTGTAGGATGCATGACATCGATTCCTATCGGTGACGGTGACACTTCTTTTCATCACCGACAGATAAGAGGTATGATTATGTGAGCGGAAGCCTTTGGATCAAAGGAAGCCTTGACCACGCTATCAGCCTTCGCAGCTCATAAACGTAGTTTACCATATTGGCGTCGTTCCCATTGCAACCCCACGTAAAGATCTAATGCAACGGAGTGTGCAGGGGCGGTGGCCCGGGCAGGGGCGGATTTAGGAAAATTGGGGCCCTAGGCAAAGACAGGCAGGGGGCCCTATGAATGTAGTCGCCAAAGTCTCCAGTAGCAGAAAAAAGTCGATAAATTTGGCGCTAGGCCCTTTTTTAAAATTAAAGTGCTAGAGGGGTCTGAAAAGTCGTTAAAATGCGACATCGCTCTTTGCATCATTTTTTTTTTTCAAATGTTTGCTGCTGTCCTTTTAGCGAAAGGATTCTTATCAAAAAAATAATTAAAGTGCACAAGTAAGGAATAGGTGTGTTAACTATATATTTTAATAGAGTTTTATAGCCCCCCCCAGGAACTTGGGGCCCTAGGTAACTGCCTAGTATTGCCTAATGGTAAATCCCCCCCTGGGCCCTGGGTAGCATCAGGAATGGAGCATTCCATATTTAAAAAAATAAAATAATAATAATAATAATCCCTGTCAGCTGTTTCCGTGCTTTCATGCCAGAATCTAAAACTCAGATAGAAAGAGAACGGCTCTTTGTGCCACTCCATAAAAACCCCGATGGAAAATAAAATTAAAGAATAGAGAAAAAATAATAAAAAATGATCAAAATGAATTTGGCAAAACATGGAAGCTTTGATTTTTTTTTTCGATTGAAGAAATGGAGCAGATTGCAAACTTCTTAAAAGCATCTGAAGTGGCTATAAAATAATCTCTGTCTATATAGTTATTTTCTCTTAATCTTAATTGGCAACAACTGTAAGAAGTTATTAAAAGTTTTATGTCCGTTTTCACAAAAATAGAAGTAGAATATAGAATTTTTTAATGTAGTCTAGTTAAGGTCTGACCAGACAACATTTCTAGATAATAGGAAGTTCTTTATGAAAATGCAAAAAGGTAAAAGATCATAAAGGAGTAAAGTGACAGATTGTTTTGACGCCCTTTAATCCATGCTGCCCTGAGCAGAAAGCCTTATTGCACTGGAAAAGCGATCTAAAAATAAGTAAAAATTTCTTAAATTAAGTGTATTTATCCCTAATTTGAGCAGGTAAATGAGATAGTTCACCAATGGAATGAGTATTTTTACTCTTAAAATAAGATAATTAGAGAAATTGCAGTTGAAATAAGACAATGCAATTGTGTTGTCTTATTTTAAGTCTAAATTGTCTTTTTCTATTGGCAACATGTTTCTTTTAACTCCTCATTTCAAGAACAAATGCTCTTAGTTTAAGAAAAAATGACTTTTTTCCAGTGTGGCCATTTGGAAAACTGCCTGTTAACTTTTATCTACCAGTCTGCTGTAAAAAAAAAAAAAAAAAGCTTTTTTTATCTGTTGAATTTGATGTATCTAAACACATTACATATTTTTAAGGCACCAGAAGCTAAAAATATGCTAATTTATTACAGTTCATTTCTGTTTTGCTTTAAAATCTTCATTTTCAATCATTTCCTCTCATAAAGTGAGAAAACGTATAAATGTGGGCGTTAAGCTCACCTGCCTTACAGACCCCCTTCCTCTCTGCTCCTGGTTTATCAGCCGCTGGCGCCTGATGAATGCACACCAGCCCCTCGTCACACTTCCCCAGATAGTCCCAGTTCCCCCCGCAGGTCTCCCCCTCCATCCGGGCGCAGACGGGGCAGCAGCCGCAGACGCCCGTCGTGACGCCACCTCTGCACTGGAGCCTCAGCGCCCGCTTGGAGGAGCAGTGTATCTGCTCGCAGGGCGGGCAGTGTAGGGTCTGAAGCTGCCGGGCGTCCCCAGGGAGGATGTCCTCTGTCCCCAACACCCCTAACAGGCCGCACACAAGGAGGAGCGTCCACATGTTGGAGTTTACGCCCTGCAGTCCTGCAGTGGAGGGAACCCGGCAGCTTTTATAGTCATGAGGACCTGGAGGGTCAAACCAGTCAGGCTCTGTGAGGCACAGCCTCCTGTGGCAGCCAATAGATGAGGAGGGGGGGGGGG